AACTAAGTTATCAACTAGTCAACGCCGCAGAGGGCGGGCCGAGCCGGGCCGGCAGCGTGCCGCACCGGGCGGGAACATTAAGGCAAACTGGAAAGCTGAACGGTGCGTCGTTGTGCTGATGGCACTGCGGATATTAGTGTGTTGGGGAGGGAGTGGGGTCTTATGAAGAGTCAGCGGAGAAAGCGTTCGAGTGATAGTGCAACACTTCGTGTCCCGTGGAAAGGACCTTGAATCTCCTGTTGAGGAGGGAAGGACTCTTGGCTCTCAGGTCGTGGTTGAACTCTTGAAAGATTCCTCTCGAAGAAGATGGATGAAATGTGGCTAAAAGCCTTTTTTTTTCTCTCTTACCATGACATTTTATATATTAGTTTCAAGTACAAAGTGACAATGTGAATGGAATTTGCCATTGTGTTATGCGTGCTGTAGGATTAACTTGTCTCTACTTTCATTGCAATGTCTGCAAAGGAAAAGCAAGATGTGACACAAAAGTGTCCGACAGAAATATTTCCATATGCCATGAGGCATAGTAAACCAAGTAGGAAACTACTGAAGAAAATGGTATTTACTTTTATAAACTGTTATTTTGAATGAAATGATTCCTTCTTGAAGTCACAAACTGCTATGAATGTTTAACCATTGCCCCTTGAAACTTGCAACTCTTGCATGTATTCAAGTATGTTCTTGCAGCACCGCTTAATTTTTAGCACGCAAAAACTTGCAAGGAGAGAATACTTGAATATTTAAAGATTTTGACAAAGGCTGCTTCAGGTAGGCCGACATCTCAGAAAAGATTGCGCAAGCTTCATAGGGCACTATGAATTAAAATACCTAGTATTATTTGTCAGTAGATATTTTAAATTTTAAATCTCTTCTGTATGATACAACACAAGAAACACAGAAATTGCTTTTGAAGATATGATTTATCAGGGCTAGCCTGAATTTGTGGCAATTCTGATTTACATAGAAGAAAATAGGAGAATGTAGTTATTTATTGGTATTTTATGTTCTAGTATCTGCATTTTGATCCTCCAGTAAAAGTTCAGAAAATTTTGTAAGAGACTCATTATGGAAATAAAGAGACAAATTTGATCTGTTAGTGAAAAATGTACTTTATCTGAACATAAGTATCATTTTGTGCCCTGATCATTTCATAATTGACAACTATACTAATACTAAAAAACATATGATCCATTGCATGGCGATTGGCACAAAATTAAGTGACAGACTTGACACAACCTACCCTTTTTTTTTAAACAATAAATGAAGCGTGAGTAACAGAAGTGATAAATACAGAGACAAGTATTTATAAAGATAGTGTTGTACAACATGTTGTAATCATGAAACTATATAAGAACATTGCTTATAGAAACCTTTTGATTTTAACATTAATGTATTTATCACTATCCAGGCGGCCCCAAACAGCATAATCATGTTTTGGACATTTAGGTACCTTTAGCAAGCTTCTACCAAAGACCAAAGTCAGAGTAAAATAAGACTGTGATATTGTAAAATATTGATAATCAAGGAAAGCTATGAATGTTTGTAGAAGGTGTATAACATTAATGGTATTTCATAACATTCTTTCACCAGAAGAATATTTATGATTCATTCCACTCCTGAATGCATATTTCCTCTGGTAATTTCAATGCTAGTACCTAACTCAGTTCATATTTCACGCTTAGACATAGGGGAATTGCTCCATCCAAATACTGGCTATCAAAATATCACGCAATAAAATACATATGTACATATATATACATTGCTATGACACTTTTGCCTACATGATTTTATAAAATGTATGTTAACTTCACTCCAGTTATGCGACCTCAGAACGCTTCCATCATACTAAAACAGTTAGTGAATGACCACTAGAATAAGCACTGCATTACAGTTAGGGTACTGATAGTTAACACTGTTATGTCATGTCATGATTGATAAATAAAATGGAAAACAATAATTAATAACAAAACAAGTACAGATCTTCAAGTTAGAAGGAGCAGTTACAAAATGAACTGAAGATCTTTAAATTGATACGCATGTAATTTCTATGGGTTTACATTCTAGAGCAGACCAATTGGCAAAGAGCTTCCTAAAAACTGTTATGATGTTAATCTATGAAACTCTTAAATAAGGGGATGATTAATACAATCTATCAATACAGCATTGGTAACTCAACTAACTAACGTTAGCATACACAACATTTCCATTTTGAAGTCAGTCAATAATCATAAAAATAAACATAAACAGATACCAAGCTAAACAATTGTGGCGATAAAACAAAGCTTTAATAGGAAATGAAATGGCGATCAGTGGTGTTTTCTTGCAACCATACTTGATGCTGGGTTGCCAATTGCAGTTTTAATGTATAACATCTATACATTCTTACCTCATATCAGGAACGTCAGAGAGAGACAATTCAAAGAGTAAAGTATAAGCATCAATAAATTCACAAATAAATGAACCCACATGTCAAAATGCATACTTACTATGATAATATGACAATTTTCTGCTCGGTCAAAAACTTAAAATATAACTCAACAAGAACAAATACAATCTGAATATGGGGAAAACATAACCCTTGAATTAATGAATTAATACATATCACAGGTTCTACACAGGTTCAATTGTAACAGGTATCTGTGTGATTGGCACATCTAGTAAAATATTAGATTTAAAATTGCACACAACCAATCAACCTGAATCTTAACAAATCTCAGAATGCATTTAGGATTATGTGAGATACAATAACCCAGTAGTCAACGTCTGAGCTAAACACAAAACTAAAGATAAATCCTAAGTAAAATGCATATGTACCGTATTCATCCAATACTAAGCCACAGCCGGAGGAAAGCTCGCCCCATATTTTGTGGGGGGGCCATAAGAAAAACTCCAATAAGACCTCTGCAAAATGGGCAAATCGGTTCAAAGCAACACTTTGTCTCTTGGCTATCAAAATGGGACAAAAAGGGCACGACTTTGAATCGAATGGATATGGTAACTACTGGAGAAATGGTCTTGAAGATAAAAATAGCATAATACATAGATCTGTGCTTACAAAGTATAGAACCACTACTGAACACAATTTACTGTACAAACAATTCCAGTAGCTTCAGAAGAAATTGATAGAATATGGTCTACACACTCTGTTGTTGAGCCAAAGGAGGCTGAGGTGAATGAGCAGGTGAAGAGGCTTGAAGTTGTTGTTGAATCTGTGTTGACACTAGTTGTTTTGTTGCTTTGGCAATATCATAGGCTGTTGAGCGCACTTGCTGCAAATACAAAGCTCGATCTGTTCCCATACTACTCTGCAAACCAGCACAATCGGTTTGCAGACGGGTTGTGTTGGTTATCAAGGCACGAAGTGCAGTCCGTATGGCTTCGTCAGTGGGGTTCTAAAGCATTAGAAGAAACAAATAAGGGAGAAGTTCAGAAAGAATAAAATCAAGAATAACACCTGAGCTTTCTGCGAATTTTACCTTTGGAAATATTGCTGTTAATTCAGCAACAGCAACTCGTATGCGTTCAGCACAGGGAACAAATGTGTCCCTATTTAGAACAGGAGCACCTTGCTCTTGCATTGATACCCAAAGTTCCTGAATACGTTTTGTTACCTGGTCAGTTCTCCGCATTACCTCTTCTGGTAGAGGCATGGTAAGAACTGAGCTCTGAAAAACCTGAAAAGATAAAGATATTTCCTGCAATTAACCAGTACAATCATGACCAGGGTTGAACTCAGTGAGGTAGAACTTACCTGATTTTTGGAATTTGTCCAAGGCGATGATCTTAGTCCTTCTCTTGGCTCATACATTGAGGATGGCCTCTGAATATGAGAAGATTGAAGAACAGGCTCTGACTCATGGCCATTGGGAAGAGGTATAGACATTGAATGAGGTACCATACGCCGTAGCTCTGCATTTTCAGTTTCAAGTTTGTGAACCTGGGTTTGAAGAATTAGAGGGTGAGGATTGCATGCAAAAAGCTGTAACCTATCCCAAAATGATCACTAACATACCATTGTCTGCATTCTTTGTAGCTCCATTCTCAGATCTTCAATGCAGGCATTTGCCGAATTGAGTTTTTGGCGTAGGTCTTGTTCTACAGCTAAATTATTACCTTCCAGAGTCTGTAATAAAATCAATCAAATTCTAATAACTGATGGCATAAAAAAAATAAAAAAATAACCCATTCACAACATTTAAGTAGTACCTTGTCAAGAGTGCTTTGAATGCTGCAAGGTGGGTCAGCCGATTGAGGACGAGCAATCTTGCCAGGTTCCTGTAAAAGTAATGAGCATTGTAGAGTTTATGTTAATGTATTTAACACACAGAGTTATACACTTTAAATACCATGCAAAGATACATACAACTACTTTTAAGCATTTTGCTAATTGCTCAGCGGTAACATAATCCTCATCAGATGCAACACTATCATACAATGGATCATCATCTGAAAGCTCTGATTGGTGCTTTAAGTTGCCAGCAAATTGACTTGATGCAGATGCTACAGAATAAAAAGTAAAATAAAAAAAGGAATGTAAAAGGAAAATCTACCAAGACTAACCAATGGGGAGAGTTCCATACTCACCAAACATTTGCCTTCTTCGTGCATCAGATAGGATATCAATAATGAGAGCTGCAAATTCACTTGAGCTAAATCGAGCTAACTTCTGACGACCTTGGTTTCTTGTAGCAGAAAGTTCAGGGTTAACAGGAAGAAAAGGCACAGAAGCATTCTCAATTGCAACTGGTCCACATGACCATGCTAAAGGAGTAGGAAAAAGAAAGTAGGAGAATTAGAGATTATTGTTATTTGAGTAAAGCTGTGCAATAAGGCAAAAAAGCATCTGCACACCTGCTTCAGTTTCTCGGCGGTCTACCTCATCATAAACATCTGTAGCTAGTTCTTCAAAGAGTTGATTAGGAAGCTAAAGAACCATCAAAAATTAAGGATGTTTCAAATGCTTTAATACTTCAGATAGAATAAAGTTTTTGAACTAGAAGAGTTGACCAACCTGTTGAAGCTTCATCTTTGCTTCTTGTGAAATTTCAGCAATTTCAATACTGTTTGATTTTTCTGGTAAAATGAGGTGCTGACCAGTTCTATGTTCTGGCTTGCGTCCATAAACAAAAAATGAGAGACGATCTGTGACCTCATACAAGCACTCAATAATACGTTCTGCTAAATCCATATGACCAGCACACCTTTAAATGGGAGATTCACAATAAGTGATTGACAGTTGAAGTGAATTTAAGAAATATTAAGTTTCTAAGTAGGTCTACCTTGCAAAGTAGGCTGGTGTGCGCCCTTGCTGATCCTCTTCATTGGGATTAGCACCATACACCAACAATAGTTCAACTTGTAATGCTTGTCCAGCTTGGGCAGCAACATGAAGAGGGGTTGTCCGCTTTTCCTAAAAGAAACAAAATTAATTTTATAAAGGAGTTTTACAAATATATGTTTCTGACACAGTAATCTAAATATTATGTCAAACATACAGGGTGAAAGAAATTAGCATCAGCTCCTTGAGAGAGGAGCCTTAGACTAGTCTCCAGATTGTTTGTTCGAACACTTGAATGTAGTTGCTGACTAAGATCAGCATCATCAGATGACACGTCATCCTTAGAAGGCCGGAACACAAATGATAAGGATTGATGCTTTGCTCTAATGAAATCTGCTTTGGTTGTGCTGAAAAAAAGGAGTATCGATTCAGGTGACTTACATCAACCTAGTTGTAATAGAGCGGCGCAAAATGTATCTCTAAAGTGTTTTGTACATACTGGAGGGGATCTTGCGGTTGTGGTTTACGACGGCTGCCTTTGGATGATGGATCTAATAAAGTGTGTTCCCAGATACTATTTGCACCACTGTTGTTCAATGTGCGTACCATCTGTAGTACCAGAAAAAGAGCTCCGTGGTTACATCAAAAATTATAAGACAGCACTCAAGAGGATCTTTAAAACATTTACATACTAGTAAATTTGATAGACTCCAATTCCCTTTCTTCAAAGATTTCACATGAGATATATGTCTTCCAAGACTTCTATGAATACTGCAGCATTCATCGCACAATAAAATGCAACGATTGATGGATGCCCACCCAGGTTCTGTCAATTAGGAAAAAAAGAGACAATTTTATTTTATGTTTAAATCTAGAATGAGTCACAACAGAAAATGTTTATCAGTATTAAGAACTGCTATTGAATAATAGAATTGTCAATTAAATTCGTATAACTGAAACCACATCATTCTTTAAGACAACGATTATTATCAGAAAATAAACAATTCAGTTCAATGAAAACAAGGGTGTGTACTACTCATAATAAAGATTAGAGTTAGTTAACTCTTACCCAGGGCACCGCAGTCGCCGCAAATCTCAGTGCCATTTCGAAGCTTTCCTTTCGACATGTTGTAAACAGCACAAAAAGTCCAACAATGTACTTGAAAGGGCGATAAACTAAATCATCTTATCGCTTGAAAATGATGGTAATTTGATTGACGAGAAGACATGGGGGTTAGGTTAGGAGAAGTAGATAGAAGAGGATAGAAGTCTATTTGTACTTTCTGCTGTTAAAGTTGAAAACAAGACACCCTGCAGCGAGGCTTCTCGTGAGAGGCTGAATTGCTCATACCAGTCCAAAAGAGGGAGGGGGGAG